TCCAAGTGGTGTTGAAAGAAAGGGGGCAAAGGGCCAGCTCCCACCGAGGGGGGCAGGGACACTAACGGGCGGGGCTCTGCGTCCCAAGCCAGCCTCCAGGAGCCCACAGCGGCTTCCCCAGGGTCTACTACTTGTAGCTCACTGTTATTAATCCACAGCTTAGATTTTAGTCTGGGATCGACATTTAAAACACTATTGAAATGCTGTTTTCCGATGGGAAGGCCGGAGGCCTCCAGGGCTGAACCCTGGAGAGGCAGAAGTGGCCGGTCCTGGCCAGGGGCTTGGAGGAGCCTCCCTGGCAGCGTTCTCTGCAGACAGAACCGCTTGGGGCAGGGGCTCCGCAGGGCCAGGACGGAGAAAAGGCTGTCCAGGCAGGAAAGGAGAAGCTGCGTGGTCACAATCCTCCAGGGAAGCCAAGAGGCCCAGTTCGGGCAAGGAGAGGCTCTAAGGGGAAACCTTCCCTTTTGGTCCCTGAGGCCTTGGCAACCGGGCTCTTTTTGGAACTGGCAATGCTGGTTTTGAAATCGGCTGACCAAATGCCCCAAATAATGACCTACCCCTCAACTGCTAGTGACATTTCTGCAACACACACACACACACACACACACACACACACCCTTTTCGTGCACACGGAAGGGTTATAAAGAAGCCAAGAGGGAGGTTGCACCATCCGCAGCCTATTTAATCTGTGAATAATTGCTTTAATTATTCCCGATCAATATCTCCATTCCATAGCTAAATTTATTTCCTGAACGGCAGGCACACCTTCAGTTACCCAACGGGCGGCCACCGTGGTCTCTGTTGCTGGCTGAACAGAGTTTAGGTGGAAACGAAGGTGAAATGCAAACAGGGCAGAGAGAAGCTTCTCCCTTTCCCAGGCAGGACTTTTCTTCTTGCTGCCCCTTTGAGCAGGAGGCTCAGGTGAGGCTCACGCCCGCCCTCCCCCTTCCCTTCCTGGACAGGGCTGGCCCAGCCAAGAGGCCACAGGCTCTCTGGGGAGGAGCTCGGGGGGAGGAGGGAGGGAGGGAGCAGTGCTGCCCTTCTCTTTCCAGTAAGCCAGAGAGAAGCCGGGGTGTTTTCGGCAGTCCCTTCTCAGCCCAGCTGGCCATCTTATGAGGTGACCGGCCTGGTTGGCAAGGGCTCCTCGGTGCAGGCTGCATGGGAGAGGCTGCTCGGACTCCCCTTGCCTCTTGGTCCTTACTTGCCATGGGATGGTAGAGCTGGCATGGCTTCGGGAGGGCACTTTGGATTCCGAATGGGGTAAGCTTGGACAAGACGCAGGTGCCAAGCAGCACCGGGTGGCGAGTGCCAGGCCCTTGTTGAGAAGCCGGCCCCAGCTGGGAGCTTCTCTGCCTTCTTGCCACTCCTTGGTGGAGGGCAGCTTTCCTCCTCGTGGGCAGGGCGGACCTTGCCCAGAGACAGGGCTCCTCTGCCAGGCGGGCAGAGCAGTGGATCAGCATGGGCGTGCCTTTCTCGGAAGCATCCCCACAGCCAGGCAGAAAGTCTGAAGAGGCCAAGCGTCCGTCCTGGTGGCCCTAGTGGTGGGGAGAGGTTGGAGCCTCTTTACCGTTTCCCCCCTCCCCAAATGCTGTGACTACGGCTGCATTGCCGCCTGTGGAGCTGCAGAGGACAGCCTCCCTGCCCCACGGCTGCCAAGCATGGTGCCCACTGCTGTGAGAAACCAAAAGCCCCCCAGCAAAGCAGGCTTGCCTGTGTCCCCCTTCCCCAGCTGCGGGCTTTTCTTTCAGGGCTCACGGTGGTGCCACCGCTGGTTGGCGTGGCAGCTGAGAGAGGGCCCGGCTGTGCTGACAGCCATCCGTTGGGCCTGATTCAGAACCGCCAGAGCCAGATTTGGACGCAACCTGTTCCTGGGGATGGGTTCCTTGTGGCAGCCCCCTGGGCTGTATTCTCAGCTGCTTTGGCTGGGAACATGGAGGGATGCAGATGCTCAGAGCTGCCGAGGTTCACTGCACAGCCGGTCTTTTAAAGCCCACCCCCACTCAGGGACTCTCCCCCCCCCCCTCTGCCTTCTCTGAGCTGCACCAGCTCTGCTCAGAAAGGGACTTTGCCGCTGGCCGTTTGAGCGCCGGGAGAAGCTGGCCGTGCCCAGGGTCGCTGCCCCCTGTCGCTGAAGGAAGAGGCAGGGTCTGCTTTCAGGGGAGGGGCTCCTTCCTCCTTCCTGGCCCAGAGCCCTGGGACAGAGAGGGGGCCTCAGTCAAGGCGAGGGCAGCCGGCCGCTGGAGCCCCTCGCCCACAGGGTGGCTGCGGTTCCTTTGACTTGAGCTCAGCTCCAAAAGATGCACTGGGCCTTATTCGAGGGTTGGGCCTTATCTTTGGGGAAAGGCGGTACTGAATGCGTCCGTCTGCCTGGCGATCTTCACTGGGGCTTCTTTTGGGGGGTAGGGCGTAAATTACAAGCCTCCTGAAAAAGTCCCTCTAGGGCTTATTTTCCAGTTGGGTCTTATTTTGGGGGAAACCGGGTATTTGCAGCCTCCCCTTGGATCTATTCACACAGAGTCAAAGTGGGATCCATGGGGAGAGTCAGCAACCCTTTTGATTCCTGGTGTGGGAGGGAAGCCCAGGTGGTTGCTCTGAATGAAGAGGGAATTGCCGGCCAGGATGAATCCTGGAGCTTCTTCCCTGCCTGGAGGCCAAAGGAGGAGCCAGTCTGTGTAAGGGACCAGCCTGAGCAAGCGAGTCTCCCCCTTGTAGGCCGCCCTGTGCTTGTATTTGTGGCCAGGGTCTTGGAGCAACCTCCCTTCAGCCTGCATGCTTGTTCTTCAACCCAATCCCTTGAAAAGGTGTTTTAAGGGGGCCGCTGGGGCTCTTGGGATGGAGAAGCCAGCTGTCAGGAAACCAGCCCCTCCCTTTTCCTTCCCTGGGGAGCTCAGTGGGGCTGTGACTCGGCTCACCCCTTCCTTCACACCTGGGCCGGGGACCTCCACACTTACGGCGAGCAGTCGGTTTTGCTGCCCTGGGCGCAAATGCGAGCAGAATCGACTTCTTTGTGGGGTGACGGGCGTTGCTCTTTGGGGGCAGGCTGCCTTCCGGGCCCCTATCTCTTTTCCCTCCTCTTCAGAAGCCGAAGGTCAGGAGCCCTTGGCACAAGACGGCCATTCAGGCGCCAGGGACCCAGACCAGCCCCCTCCCCAATCTCTCTCGGGCACCTCAGTCAACCCCCTTGGCCAGGAGAGAAGGGCTGGCCAAGGCCACAGGCGGATTTGCTGCCCTGCTCACCCAGGAGCGCCTGGAGGGCCTTGGGAGAGATGGCGACTCGCTGAACCCAGAGGGGGGCTGGGTGGGGAGGAAGTGGCAGCACTGGGCACGCGCCTCTTCTGCCCCCGCCGCCTTTGTGCCAAGGGGCGCTTCATCTTCAGCGGCTGAGGGGGAGAGTGCCTTGCCGGAGACCTTCCTTTGGCTTTCTGAAGGGGCAGAAGTGGGGTGGCAGGGGGGGCTCCTGCCTGCGGTTCCCTGGCTGTCATCCAGCAGCTCCAGAAAGGGACCCTGCTTCTAATTCAGCTCTCGTGGGCAGAAGACAGGGGCCTGCTTGCAATGGGGAGGGGATGCAAGTGCGGGCTGGGATCATATCCGTTGCCAGGAGCCGAGCTAACTTTGGCTGGCAGAAACCCCTGGCAGAGCAGCGTCGACTGGAAACGGTGCTTGGCCTGTGGATTGAGAGCACCGCTGGGGCGAGGGTCCAGGATCAGGCCCCCGAGTGGGAGGGGTGGCTTGCGAGGGAGGCATGCAAAGGCCGAGGAAAGAGGGTGACCTTTGGGGGAGTGATGGGCGCCAGCCATGTGCCTGCTTGGTCTGCCCTCGAGCGTGCCCACATGGGCCCCTGCCACTCTCCTTCCCTAACGCCGTGGGGCAAAGGGCTTGCTTTGCTGACCAGAAAGCTGGAGTATGTCGCCTGGCATTGGCGCCCCGTCCTCGGTGGCAGGGCTTTTGCGGGAGTGCCCAGGCAGGTGTCCCGACTGGTACGTCAAACTGTCACCGGAGAGAGTAGCTGGAAAGGATCTTGCCCCCCAGGGGCGTTTCCGACTCGGAGGTGCAGGTGAGGGGTGTTCTCATAACGGCATGGCCCAACACCCATGGGGACAGGCGCCCGGGGAAGAGGCGCCTTCAGCCTTGTGGCGTCTTTGTGGTTGGTTGAATGCTGAGGGCCGTTAGCCTTGGACCAGGCAGGCAGGCTGGCAAACCTCAGGTTTTGCCAGGGATCGTGCCAGCACTTTGGCAGAGGTGTGGGATGAGCCTCTAGGTCAGTGGCTTGTGAAATGGAGTGGACTCAGGTAGGCTGCCAAGCACCGGGTTTTAGACAGATGGGCGTCTGCCCGGGGTCTGTGTGCCGTATTTTGCCCTTTCAGCAGCCTGGCACAGGAAGAGGGCTTGAGGGGAAGTTGGGGGCATGCCGCGTTCTCAGCTCTGCAGTTTGCCACGGCCCTGGTGCCTCTGGGAGGAGGAGGAGGAGGAGGAGGAGGAGGGCAGCGTGGCAGCCAGCCCCTTGGTGCTCGTGAGTCTGCCCTGCTCCCCAGCCAACCCTCCTGGTCTGAGTTCCTTCTGGGATTTGCCCCATTGCCCCTGGCACCCCTTTTCCTCCTCCTCCTCCAGGTGAGGGATCTGCACAAGAGCTCCCTGGTTTCTGATGGGTGATCTTACTTGTCTGTTGGCGGACAATGGATCCCCTGCCCTGGTCCCATGGCTGCTTTTGGCATTTCAACCCCTGAATGCTTGGAATTTGGGGGAAGCCTCTGCAGACCCTGGCAGATGTTCTGGCTGCCAGCAGTTCAGGCTCAGGACAAGCAGAGGGTTTCCTTCCGATGGGACCTCCTGGTGGAGAGCTCTTCAAGGGCGACTGAGAGCTAAGCCTAAGCCCCCCTCTTCCCCCGACCCCCTCTGGGGCCCCTTCCTGATGCTCGGCCTCCGCCTGCCCCAGAGGAAGCCCAGGCTCTCTTGGCCCCTGGGTGGCCCCAGCCTAACCTCTTTCTCTTCCCCCTTTGCAGCCCACGACCTCCCCCCAAGCAAGGCCTTGGCTCCAGCACAGACGGGCAGCCACCTGCAGTGTCTCTCTGTCCACTGCACGGACGACATGGGTGATGCCAAGGGCCGGACTGCGGTGCCAACATGGAGATCCCTGCACTCGGACATCTCCAACAGATTTGGGACTTTTGTGGCTGCCCTGACTTGAAGAAGGAGGAGGAGGAGGAGGAGAGGAAGAGGAAAAGTTGGTGGTTTCTTCTGTTCTTTTTATGTTTAACCAGCTGCTGCTACTAGTTGGACATTTTCTCTAGGTTGGTATCTGTTTAGCGGCATACGGACTGGCAAGGGTTAATTTAAAACAAACTCAACCTTTTTAAAAAAGAAAGAAAGGAGGAAGGAGAAGAACAGCTGCCATTTCTCTTGCTGGAGGAGGAGGAGGAGGAGGAGGAGGAGGAGGAAGCGGGGCCTTCTCCAGCAGGGCTGGGTTCAGGAGTTTCCCCCTCCCTTCCAGATGAAGTCCAAAGCCCTCAGAGGGAAACTGCTCCCCAAAAGCCATCCAAGGGACCCCCGAGCCTTTGCCTTTCCTGCCCACCGCAGCCACACCATAAATGCTCAGCCAAGGATTCAGACAGCCCTTTGTCTCATTGGAGAGAGAGGAGGCGGGCGGGCGGGCGAGGAGGGGGGGGGATGCAAGCTGATCTCTTTCCTCCCCTCCCCACCTCATTCTGCTGCTGCTGCTGCTGCTGCCTGATTTCTGCTTTCTGGCACAAAGCTTCACATCGCCTCTTTTCCTTGAGCGTGTGTGAGTGTGTGTGAGTGTGTGTGAGTGTGCGTGCGCTCAGTGGCATCTCTGCTCTCGGGGTCTGCCGGCTCCACTTGACAGCTGAGTGCCTTTCCTGGAGGGGGGAGGGAGGGGGCCGCATGCCCCCAGCCAGCAGCCCAGCCGCCTGGCTCCAGCGGGGTCCTCCTGCCCTGCCAACAGCCTCCCATTGTCTTCCTCTCCTTCCTGCAGAGAGAGGCCCCTTGCGAAGAAGGAGAGGGCCTGGGGAGGGCAGGGGGCTCCGAGGAGGCAGCAGCAGCCGGGTGAGGCTTCCTCCTCCTTCCTGGAGAGGGCTGGGCGGCTGCTGCTCTTGCTGCAAGGGGTTCCAAGCGGCAGAGCCGCCGGGCGAAGGAGCTGCGCTTGGCGGATGGGAGAAGGCCAGGAGAGGTGCCAGCCTCGCCAGAGGAAACGGGAGAGCCAGGCAACCACGATGCCTCCGGGGTGGTATTTCCAGCCTCAGGTTGGCATTTCTAGCAGCAGGGAGGCTGCTCCGAGCCAGCCCACCTGGTGCCTCCGGTGGGTCCTCCTGCCCAGTGCCCAGGCCCCGGGGGGGGGGAGGGGGGAGCAAGGCAGCCCAGGCCCAGGTCCTGCCCACAGCCACCTCCCCCCCCCCTTTTTTTTTTTGCTTTTTCTTGTCTGGAATCCGGGAAGCTTCTTGAGGTGCTTTTCTTTTTTAATGCCCTGGGTTTTTTGTGGACTTTTTCTCCCCTTTTGCGGACAGGTAACATTCTGATCCGCCTCCCGTCCTGGCCGCCTGCCTGCCCTGTCCTGGCTCAGAGGGGGCAGCAGCCTGATTCTGCCCCCCCAGCAGCCTGTGGAGTTTTCTCCTGCCCTCCCCATCTGGGGACCCTCATCCTGCCAGAGGTCTGCAAGGAGAAGTGAGTCAGGTGGGGGTTATTATTCTGTTACTTTCTGAAAATAAGCTTTTGTAAGAAGAAGAAAAAATCAGCACAGAATAATAATGGAATTGAAGCGTTAAAATAAGAATAACAATCATAAAGATAATCCTAAATAAAGAGCGACAAGGTTAAAATGCAAACTTTAAATTCACAGCAAACTCAAAACTTCATTCAGGCAAAGAGAAAAATATGTTCAGCTGATGTTTAAAAATGACTGGAAATAACAGCAAAACAATAAAATATAAATAGTCAGAAATTATCAGAAAACTGCCTACTGAAAGCATTTAGCTGAGTAACATCCTGCACCCAGCAGAAAAAGGCAAGGAGGAAAACCCTGCGGATTGCAGAACTGTTCAGGCAGGGGGGGGGGGTCATGGAGTCCCCCCAAAATCACTGGAAACCTGCTGAAGACACACGCACAGATACACACACACACACACACACGCAGAGAACACACAAATGGGTCTTTTGTGGCTTGAGGGCAGTGCTGGTGCCCTCCTCTGCTAATCTGGGCCGCAGCCACTGTCGAAGCGTGGGGCGTGGGGCACCCAAGGACACCTCTTGGGGGCTCAACCAGGCCAAGCTTTTCTGAGGGCTCTGCAAACAGCCCCCCTTCTTTGGAAAGGTTTGGGGGAGGGGGGGGGGCTCCTCAGCCAAAGATCCAGAATGCTCCGCACAATTACAGCAGCTTCTCTGATGGGGAAAAGCAATCTAAAATAAGCCAACTATTTTCACCAAGATTTTAGGATAAAATTAAGTTTCGGGGGACTTGCCAATTTTTGTTTTCTTGGTTTCATTCCTGCCAGAATTCCCCAGCCATCGCAGCTTTAAAAACAACTCCTAAAAGAAAAGGATGTCCTTATTTTTATTGTGCTGGAAAAGAGGCCCTTCCCCTCCCCTCCCCTCCCAGCCCAACCCCTCTTGCTCAGCCGAAAAAGAAGCAAAGTTATTGCACATGTAAGATATTAACAAGGAGGGCAACTTGTAATCTCCCCTTCCCCTCTCTCCCCCTGGCCCATCATCCCCTTTCCTGGGAATTTAGTTTAAATTGGTTTCTCAAGGCTTGGTTGGAAGACTGTGACAAAAGCTCATAAAAAATGAGTGTTATTTTCTTTCTTTTTTAAATATGTAAAGTGCAGTCTTCTCTATTCACGCATATTGTATATATCTGTATATGTTTTACTGAGCAACTAAATAACAATAAATATGATGTTAATGGTGGTTCTTGTACCATTTCGGTTGGGTTCTTCTTCCTTTTTAGGGTCTTGAAAGAGTGTTTCCCGGGAGAGAAGATGGGGGGGGCGCTTAATGAGGGGGTCCCCGTTCCTCCCAGGGGTCGGGTGGGGTTAATCAACCCGGCTCTTTGGCCATTTTTCTCTCTCAGGTGGTTTTGCCTTCTCTGGCTCAGTGAAGACCCTGAGCTGCAGCATTCGTCATTCTGGCTGGGAATTATGGTGCCCAGGCAGGCACCCCAGCTAGGAAGCCTTGTCCCAAGACAATCGGCGGCTGCTTCAGGGAGTCCTGGGCACCTGTCCAAGGAGCCCCCTAAGTCAGGGCTGCAAAGGGAGGGGCCACCCAGGAAGGTCACCTGTCTTCCCCCCCCCCTTAGCTCCCCCTTGGCTCTGAGTGGATCCAGACTTCCTCCCCCCTCCCCGGGCTCTTCCCCCCACTCAGCTCCTACCTGGGTTTGTGCTGAAGCCAGCCCCCCCCCAGCAATCACCCCCACAAGCTGCTCTTGGCAGAAAACTCCTCTCTCACCAGAGAGACCCCCACACTACGGTGGAAGAGGGGCTGGGGGGGGAGGGGTTGGGGGGGGGAGGGGGCGGTGAATTGGCACAGCAGCGTCTTTGGAGGTTAAAGACAGAGAGCAGCCTGGGGGGCCTTTATCCTCCGCAGAATGCAGGGTGTCCCCCCCCACCCTCCCTCTCCCTCTCTCTGCTTCCTGGAAAACCCTGTTCTTTGTTTAAGAGCCCTGGTGGGGCTTTCTAAAGGAGCTACACCCCCCCCCCACACACACACCGCTCCAAAAACTCTGGTATTTGAATGCATTCCTTCCAAGGGGCCTCCCTGAGCCTCCCCTCTGCAGCCTTCTTCAGGGGATATCCCCCCCCACACACACACACACCCCGTCCCGCCCTCCCTTGTCTTCCCTCCTGGGTAACCCAAAACAGGCAGCAGGGAGGGGTTCTTTTTGCTGGCCCAAGAAGAGGAAGAGCTTTTGGGACTGAGCAATGGGGGGGGGGCTGGGGGGGGTCAGGGACAAGAGATGCGGAACCTTTTAGAGCAAGGCCAGGTGGGCATAATGGGGGTTGGGGGGCGGGGAGATGGAGGCAAAGGCTGGTCTGCTGGCCTCTGAGGGCCCCGCTGGGTAGGGGAGCAGCTGAGGCTGGGCTGCCACTGAAGGGCCCAGATGCCCTCCCCCCCCTCCCAGGGAGCCAGAGGGGTTTCTTGGAGGCTCCCCTCCCCCCAGCCGCTCCTCTTTCCTTTGGGTCTCCTTCACAGGGCGGAGACGGACCCCAGGGAGGACTTTGCGTTGGGCTCCCGCTCCCCTTTGGCTGAGGCACAGCTCCCCAGGGACAAGCACCCCCAATGCGCTAGGCTCCTCCTTCCCGCTCTCAAGGGATGTGGGGCTTACACCCAACCCCCCCCCACCTCTCCCGGGATCCCGGCTGGGCGTCTCCTGCCTGCGAAGGAGACAGAGAAGCCCTTCCAGAGGCTTTGGGGGCAGCCAAGGGGGCCCAGCGTCAAAGTCACTGAATCCAGGGGGCACCCCAAGCAAAGGGGCCCAATTGGGAACCGGCTGCAGAAGGCCCCCCCCCAGCCATTTTGAGGGGCTGCTGCAGCTCAGCTGATGAGGGGCCAACCCTCCTCCCCCCCCCCCAACAAAGAGGCCGTTGGTCCGGAATAGGGAGCCGTGGGAGCGACCCCTTCCTCCAGCAGGGAGAGGAAAGACCCCCAGGCCTTCCGGCCAGAGGGGAAGCCCAGGCTGGTGAAGGGCAGCTGCTGTGCGCAGCCCTCCCCCCCCCGGAAGGCCGTCCTCCTGATGGGGGTCCCTCTGAGAGCGAGGCCACGAACTGCTGAACCTCAGCCAAGGTTTATGAGGCAGACATGCAAGAACGGCGTAAAGTTATGGAAAATGTATTTATTACAAGGCTTTTCATGGGCAAGTTATCATTCTGTCAAACTTTATTAGGGAAAGTAATTAATGGGCTGTAAAAGGTGCCAGTGCATAGCCAGGGAAAGAGGGAGGCCCCTGGGAGATTTATGTCCCCCTGTCCCCCCTGGGCAGCAACAGGGGGCTTCCGTGGGCCAGAGGTGGGCCTTCGGAGCCCCAGACCCTCTCCTGGTGCAGGGGGGACTGTGGGGGGGGGGATGCAGCTGGCATAATTGAACTCCTGCTGGTGCCTACAGCCAGCCTTCCTCTTCCTCGGCTCTGAAAGCTTTCAGGAAGGGAGAGCACAGGGCTAGCTGGGAGCTGGGGATCTGGCC